TGATGCAAAGAATAGATGCCCTTAGTAAAATAGCAGGTAACTCTATTAACTGGTCCAAATCAGAATTGATGCCAATAGGTGAAAATTTGGTTACCCATTTATTTAAGGAATATCAGTTCCATATCTGTAAGGAATCCATTAAATATCTAGGTATACATATACCAAAGGATATAAACTCAGTAACATGTAATGTAAATAATATATAAAGGTTTCTTCAGATATCGATAGATGGGAGTCATTAAATCTCACCCTTTGGGGAAAGATGAATGTTCTCAAAACAACTTTATTCTCAGATTAATTTATATTCTGTGAGGAATTCCAGTTTTTATATCTGGAAAATATTTCTAAAAAATAAATTCTTTGTTTAGGAAATTTCTATGGGGTTTTTCAATTCCAAGAATATCTTTACAGAAAATGCAATTACCAATTAATGAGGGAGGATTCGGTTTTAATCATGCTTGTTAAAAGTATTAAATACTGGAAGCCAACAAGTGGTGTTAATTTTCTGATTTGGGCAACTTTGAAATATACATATACAGCACCTTTGGTTGGATGGACAGCATTAGGATCTAAATATACTAAAACTCTAATCTCTGAAAACAATTTCGTCAGTTAGAAAGCTATGGAATGTAATGCTAATGAAAAAAATATTTGACTCTTTCCCATGCCAAACTGACTTTATGGGGAAACCCAACATTAAAAATTGGGAAAAAGATGGTGATATGGAAAAATTGGTTGGAAGCTGGGATACTGACTTTGGACCAACTGATAGATGATGAAGATGAATTTTTAACATATTCTGTGTTAAGAAATAAATATCATGGCATTATTAACAGCTACAACATTTGTTAACAACATTGTTTGGACCAGCAGCATCTGAGATACCTGAGATATTAGAACAACTTATTAAATCCTTTAAAACTAAAAAAAACTATTAGTTTTTATAGATACTTGGTATCAGGAAATCAATTTGATATGCAGATGTTAAGAAATGAATGGAATAAAGAACTAGAGGTTCCTATGTTGTCTAGACAATGGGAGAGCGTTTTAACTTCTACAGCAAGAATGTCAATGGACCTCAAATTATTACTTATACAGCAAAAATATATATATATTTTTAGAATTTACTGGACTCCATTACATTTGCATAGAAAACGATTTTCAAAAACAGCGTTTTGTTGAAGATGTAATAAAGACTGTGCCTCTTTAAAGCATATGTTTTTACAATGTCCTATACTTATCAAGTTTTGGGAAAAAGTAGAGGACTATATAAATATGATTGTAGCAAAAGCTAAAATTTTCAAAGGATAATATTCTTTTGAACTATATACCCAGTACATGGAACTTGATAACCGGATAACATAAATGGATTCTCCATGCCCTTACTATAACCAAAAGATTAATATTGCAGCATTGGAAAGATAAATGTATGGCCCATTTATTCAATGGACTGAAGACCTGATTGCCCTTGCTACGTACGAGTGGATATAGGGACAAGTATAATGAAATATGGGACTCATTTATACAAAATACAATAGGTTAAAAAAATAGTAATATAAATGTATTAGAAATAAATAGTACTAGTATAATGTTTGCATTAAGTATATATAGAATTGTAATTGTTTACTGTTATAATGATATAGTAACATATCTTTTTCTTTGTTGTATTTCACTTTTTTGTTAAAGCACTGTTTTTTTTCTTTTAATAATAAAAAATAAATATATAAAAAAAGAAAAGTAATGGAAAAAATAGCCTATCTTCTGACATTTTTATATTAAGCAACAGTCACTGAAGTAACTTCGGGGGCTGTAGAGCAATGTTGCTGCAAAATGACATATAACACCTCTGTTACACAAGCTGCATTGGTTGCTGGTTTGCTTCTGGGTCCAATTCAAGGTGTTGGTTATAACCTTTAAAACCCTTCATGGCACAGAACTAGGTTATCTGAGGAGACGTCTTGCCCCCTGCCCCACTTGGTTCTGCAGAAGGGGCATGTTGCAGACCCCACCAGTCAAGTAATTTCGGCTGGCAGGGTCTAGGAAGAGGGCCTTTTCTGCCGTGGCCCCCGCCCTGTGGAACAGCTTGCCACTTGAGGTGTGGGCCGCCCCCACTCTCCTGGCCTTCTGAAAAAGTGTGAAAACACAGCTATGCCAGATGGCCTGATGGGGGCTCGCATTGTTGGAATTGGCTGGTGGGATGATCGATACTGCTCACTCCATCATCTTGAATTGTATATAGGCTTTTATATAGAATTGTTATTAGTTATTTTAATATGGATATGGATATGGATATTTATATTTTTATTGTTTTTAATGTTTTGGATTTTAATTGTAAGCCGCCCAGAGTCACCCTCTGGGGGAGATGGGCAGCATATAAATTTAATAAGTAAATAAATAAAATGACCAGATACAAAACAAATGGGAAAAGACTGGCCTGAAACAGAGAATACATCTCAACTTGCAATAAAAAAGAAGCAAGTAGCTTTAGAATAATCTGATGAATACCAGAATTGAAGAATTTGTTAAAGATAGCCTAGGACTACAGGAAAATATCTGATGATATTTCTATATTTATGTTTTTATTATCAGAATCCCCTGGAGTGCATTTTTGTGTTAGAAATACATGATCAGC